GGACACGGTGATGGTCGTAAGGGCAAGGACCAGTCCTGGGTCACTTTTTTCAGGGCCGTTGTAAATTTGAAAGGTCTCTAAAGCAAATGGTTGTAAGTCAAGGACTACCTGTATCATCATCCTCTTTTAATGATCCCCTAATCCCTTGCGGGTTGCAGTCTGGGCCACTGATTGGAGCTGAGTGTTTATTGGCCGGATGCCCTTACTGTCGCCAACGAGGAGTTTTTTTTCAGCAGATATATTCTCAATGTGCCCAGAGAGAGAAATATCTGCCTCTAACCTAGGATCGAACTCACAGCTTCCTGATTGTGAGGCAAGAACTCCACCTCACCACTCTCAAGGGCTACCTGTATGTAGTCATATAAAGCACAATGGCCCATGAATTCAATTCCTGATACATTAAGAGGGTTTGAAAACCCACCCACCCCAATTTTTTTTTACATCTAGAGTCCCGAAAAGGACACAAAACAGTCACGTACACCCCCCAGGAGGTTAATATAACTGAATTATCATCAAACAGAGCATTAATTGTGAAAAACAAGTAAGTTCCATGTAAACAGTCATGTAAAATGCTGTGGACAGGGTCATAACAAAATATAACACCTATATAATTCTGACAGCTTAAGGGACGGTTAGGTTGTATGTAACATTAAGAAACAGAAGGGCAGGAAGTCCTCAACTTCAAGCCACCATCGAGGCCAACATTTCTGTTGTTAAGCAAGACAGTTTCTTAAGTGAGTTCTGCCCCCTTTTTACGACTTTCCTGGAGTTAGTGACCACGGCGGTGAAGTGAATGTGGATTCCGCATTGACTTCGCTTGCCAGAAATTCACAAAGGGGAGATGGCGTGACTGCAACCCATCATAAATAGGAACCAAGCTGCCAAGCGTCCGAATTCGAGGCAATGCTAAAAAAAACAGTCATAGATGTGAAACACGGTCATTAAGTCACTTTTTTTTTCAGTGCCGTTGTGACTCTGAAGAGTCAACTAAGTGAGCGGTTGTAATTCCAGCACCAGAGGTGGTCATTCAGCCGGCTCTGACGGGTTCTGAAGAACCAATAGCGGAAATTTTGAGTAGTTTAGAGAACTGGCAAATCCCACCTCTGACTGGCCCCGCCCTCATCTATTCCCTGCCTCCCGAGTCCCAGCTGATTGGCTGGGTCTTCTTTGGTTGCCCTGCACAGGAGAATGGAGCTGGAAAGCAGGTTAGTGGGCTGGGTAGGGAATGGGGATTTTGCAGTATCCTTCCCCTGCCATGCCCACCAAGCCACGCCCGCCAAGCCAAGCCACGCCCACCAAGCCAAGCCATGCCTGCCAAGCCATGCCCACAGAACCAGTAGTAAAAAAAATTGAATTCCACCACTGTCCAGCACTGCCTACAGTCTTACTGCCGGCCAGTTAGCAATTGTTTGAAAAGGGGACTTATGACCTGGTTATGAAATTCTGACATCTTCCACCTTGCATTTCTGCCACTATGCAAACTGGCCCTGATTTACAACTGTTTGCAGAGTCCTATAATCACAATTTCAGGGTTTTTTTTCCCCCAAACCCGACATTTCCGTCCACAAAAAAAGGCCATAGAATCAGGTCCAGGCTTGTGGTGACCCACTTTACGACCATCACAGCTTGCGACCATCATTTGCATCCTCAATTACAGTCATAAGTCAAGGACTTCCTGTAAAGATGATGGGGTTTTTTTTTTCGTTCTCTTGTTTGCAACTTAGAAAAGAGAAATAAAGTTTGCAGACTGTCATTGCAAGTAGCCTGGTCTGCCTACACAATGTAAAGAATGTTATAAATTAGATTTTTGTTCGATATCAAGTCGTAATTCAACGAGTCAACGAGTAGTCCTTAATGGGTCTAAATCTACATGGAGGGAAGTAAGCAGTGGGGCGCCACAAGATTCCTGTCTTAAGCCCAGTACTCTTCAATATCTTCATTAACGACTTAGATGAGGGAATAGAAGGGGAAATTACCAAATTTGCAGATGATACTAAGCTGGCAGGAATAGCTAACACCCAAGAAGATAGGCTCAAGATCCAGATGGATCTTGACAGACTCGAACACTGAGCTGTATCTAACAAAATGAAATTCAATGTAGAGAAAAGTGAAGTCCTACACTTAGGCAAGAAAAACCAAAAGTACACATATAGACTGGATGAAACCAGGATCAATAGCGGTAACTGTGAGAGGGATCTTGGAGTCTTAGTGGACAACCAGCTAAATAGGAGCCACCAGTGTGCAGCAGCCGCCAAAAAGGCTAACGCAATCCTAAATTGCATTAACAGAGGAATACAACTGAGATCAAGGGAGGTACTAATACCACTCTATAAAGCCTTAGTAAGACCACACCTAGAGTACTGCATCCAGTTTTGGTCACCACACTATAAAAAAAGGATGTTGAGACTCTAGAAAAAGTGCAGGGAAGAGCAACCAGGATGATTAGGGGACTGGAAGCTAAAACATACAATGAACGGTTGCAGGAACTGGGCTTGGCTAGTCTAGGGAAGAGAAGGACCAGGGGAGACATGATAGCAGTCTTCCAATATTTAAGGGGCTGCCACATGGAGAAAGGGATCAAGCTATTTTCTAAAGAGCCTTTAGGCCAGACAAGGAATAATGGATGGAAACTGATCAAGGAGAGATTCAACCTGGAAATAAGGAGAAACTTTCTGACAGTTAGAACAATCAACCCATGGAACAGAAGTTGCCTTCAGAAGTTGTGGGAGCTTCATCCCTGGAGGCTTTCAAGAAGACACTGGACTGCCATCTGTCAGAAATGGGGTAGGATCTCCCGTTTTGTGGGGGAGGGGCTGGACTCGATGACCTAAAAGGTCTCTTCCAACTCTGTTAATCTGTTATCTGTTAAGTCCCTATGTACAGGTAGTCCTCGACTTACAACAGTTCCTTTAGTGACCGTTCAAAGTTGGAACAGCCCTGAAAAAAAGCACAGAGACATTTTTCACATGACCATCGTGTGACTTACATTCGGGATGCTTGACAACGGACTCGCATTTATGACGGCTGCAGTGTCCCGGGATCATGTTGACCCCTCTTGGTGACACAAGCAAAGTCCACGGGGAAGCCAGATTCACTTAATAACCATGTTGCTAACTTCATAACAAAAAGTCGTAAAATGGGGCAAACTCCACTTAAACAAATGTTTCACTTAACAACCAAATTTGGGGGCTCAAAGGGTGGCCGTTAAGTCGAGGATTACCTGTCTATTGCCCCTACCATCTTGAGTCCTCCATCTTTGGAAGGCCGAGTCAACCCTTGAGCCAGTCAGGATCGAACTGTTGGCAGTCGGCAGAAATTGCCTGCAGTACCAAGTTCTAACCACTAGGCCGCCACGTCTCTTTTATGATTTCGTTCTGGAAACTAACCAAGGCATGAAAATCCCCAAGTCCCCACTTCGACATCAATTCTCTCTCCCCACCCCGCCTTCCCCCAAATAACAAGACTTATTCCACTGGGACAAAACTGGCCCATTAAGAATATGAAAAAGTTACAATTCAGAGTAGCCTCAGTTTAAGACTTTACACGGTCCTGGAGGGGGGGGGAGGGGGTGCCCCCCAAATTCCTGGGAAGGATGGACTGTTCTGTTAAGAGACCGGGGATTCTCCCGCCACTCACTCTTCAACCATCACCATCCATCTTCGATGTCAAAACTTGAGCAAGGCCCCTTGGAAGTTCGACACAAGTCTGCGTCATCGTCATCGGAGGAGGAGGCGAGGGTGGCAGAGGAGGATGGGGCATCCAGAGGGCATCAGGCCACTGTCACCATCCGACTTTCCTTGGATGTCGAAATAGAAAAGAACCCTGCAACCTTTCAGGACACTCCGAAGTTCAACCACAAGTCTGCATTATTTGGAGGGGGAGGCTGGAAGAGGAGGATGGGGCACCCAGAGGGCATCAGGCAGGGCCAGGCTGCCCAACGTCTTTCCCAAGTAGTCTTCCTTGTCCCTACCAATGACGGGGGGCCCACTCCCGGCGCCCTCCCCATCCCCATCCCACCCGCGTCGTCCCCCTGTGTCGGGGGGGGGGGGGCGGGGGGGGGCTCCGATTCCCAATTCCTGGGAAGGATGGACTGATCCGTTAAGAGCCTTGTGATTCTCCTGCCAATCACTCTTCCACCGTCACCATCAGAACTTTCCTTTGATGTCCAAACTTTTCAGGACCCTCCGGAGTTTGACACAAGTCTGCCTAATCGGAGGAAGCCAGGCTGGAAGAGGAGGATGGGGCACCCAGAGGGCATCAGGCAGGCCCAAAGTCTTCCCCAAGTAGTCTTCCCTTGTCCTACCAGTGAAAGGGGAGGGGGGGGGGCACTTCCAGGGATCCTTCGCCCTCCAAGTCCACACCTCGCCCGCTTTTCCCCTTTATATCTGGGGTTCTGGAGGGGCTCCCCCAAATTCCTGGGAAGGATGCGCTGTTCCGTTAACAAGACTCGTAATTCTCCTGCCGCTCCCTCTTAACAATTGTCACCATCCAACTTTTTTTTTTTTATGTCAAAAGGACCCTGTGACCTTCCAGGACACTCCAAAGTTCAACGTAAGTCTGCATATTTGGAGGTGAGGCTGGAAGAAGAGGATGGGGCACCCAGAGGGCATCAGGAAGGCCCAAAGTCTTTCCCAAGTCATCATCCTTGGAAGGATGGGCTGTTCTGTGAAGAGACAGAATTATTCTCCTACCACTCATTCTTCAACTGTCACCGTCGGACTTTCCTTTGATGTCAAACCCTTCAAAACACTCCAAAGTTTCAACACAAGTCTGCCTAATTGGAGGCTGGAAGAGGAGGATGGGGCACCCAGAGGGCATCAGGCAGGCCCCAAGTCTTTCCCAAGTAGTCTTCCTTGGGGGGCCCACTTCCAGGGGTCCCTCGCCCTCCAAGCCCGCACCTCTTGGCCCCTTTATATCGGGGTTCCCCCCTCCCCCATTGTCCCCACCTCCCCCCGCTTCCTCGTCTCTTCCCCCGCCCCCCCCCCCCCTCCCGGGAAGGACTAAAGGCTGGAGTAAGGCGCCCCGCGGCTGTAGCCGTAATCGTAGGGCATGGCCGGCGGAGGCGGCAGCGGCGGGCAATCCGCAAAGAAGGGCGCCGCCGGATCCGAAACGGCGGCGACGGCGGCGTAGAGGGCCGGCAAGGGTCGCAAGGGGGTCTCGGCGTAGAGCAGAGGCGCCAACGACGGCAGCGGCTCGTACAACGGCGGCTCCAGAGGCAGCTCCGCCGCTGCTTGCAAAGCCGAGCCGGGGAAAACGGGCGGCGGCGGCGGCGGCGGCTCGGCGGCTTCCTTCAACAAGGCTCGGTAATCGGGAGCCGTCAGCAGCTCGAAGAGCTCTTCGGCCACCGACGGAGCGGCGGCGCCTCCTTCCAAGCCGGCCGGGTTGGGCGCCCGGTTGGGAGCCGGCTCGGTGAAGAAAGAACGGGGCAAGTTGCGGTTCCGCAGCGGAACTTTCTTGCAAGCCAAAGGAGCCGGCGGGACGACGGCGGCGGCGGTTGCACGATCCTGGAGGCCGCTCGCGCCGTGGCCCGGCCCGGCGGGAGCTGAATCCGGGGTTGCAACGAGCGTCGTCGGGGCTCCGCCCGGCTGGAAAGGCGACGCGCGCCACGAGTCGAAAAGCGCCGCTAAACTTTTGCTCTCCCGTTTGGCCGGCGGTGGGAGTTTGCAGGAGGAAGAGGAGGAGGAGGGAGCCGCCGCGCCGCCGCCGCTAGAAGGCGCCGTCGAGGCCGGGGCCTGCTTGCTCGCTGGGGCGGCGGCGGCCGGCCCGGGAACCGAACCGGGCCCCGTCCCGGAAGCCGCCTCCGCGTTGCCTCCGAGGAGGCCGGTGCATCGCTTGATCTGCTTCTGCAGGTACTTCCGATGGTTGACTTTCCGCTTGGATTTGCCCGGCTTGTCCAAAGCCAGCTTGATGTTGCTGGACGCCGAATCGATGAAGCTCAGCAGCTCCCGGGTGGCTTCGCGGAAATCGGCCGCTTCGTTGCAACCGTCGAGGGCTCCGCATGAGCCGTCGGTCGCCCCGCCGACGCCGCCTTCCAGCAACAGCAGCGCCCCGTCGCCGCCGTAGCAGCTTTTCTCCACCAGCGCTCCGAAATCGGCCGCCGGGAAGCCGAAAGGGCCGAAGGGGTGATGGGGAGGCGGGAGAGGCGCCGCTTGCACGGCCATCGCGGGAGGGGATTTTTTAGTGCGGGCTTGGCGGAGGGAAAGGACGCCGAGGAGGAGGAGGAGGAGGAGGAGGCTGCCCGGCTGGACCAAGCATCTTTCCGGCACCGGGGCCTCCGCTGGGGGAGGGGGGGGAGTTTGGAAGCCGGGCCGGGTTGCCGGGGCCGCCGCCGCCGCCTCTGCAAAGTCGGAGAAGCTGCGAGCGATGATGGCGCGGCTGCTTTCTCGCCACCCCTCCCCTCGGCTTTCACTTGGCGGCCGGAGGAGGAGGAGGGGGAGGGCGGAGGGACGGGAAGGGGCTCGTCTGGGGCGGAGAGAGGAGGGGTGGGCGGTTAACTCTTGAATGGCCTCGAGCGCCAAAGTTGTGTGTGTGTGTGTGTGAGAGAGAGAGAGAGAGAGAGACAGACAGACAGACAGACAGACGAAAGACACAGAAACAGACAGAAAGACAGAGAGACAGGCAGAGAGAGAAAGAGACAGACGACAGACAGATGAGAGACACAGAGACAGACAGAGAGAGAGAGAGACAGACAGACAGAGAAAAAGAGACAGACAGACAGACAGACAGACAGAAAGAGGCAGAGAGAGAGAGAGACGACAGACAGACAGACAGACAGACAGAGAGGGAGAGGCACAGAGAAGACAGACAGGAAGACAGACAGACAGACAGATGAGAGACACAGACACAGACAGACAGAGACAAACAGACAGACCAACAGACAGAGAGAGAGAGGGAGAGAGAGAAGACAGACAGACAGAGAGAGAGAGACAGAAGGACAGGGACACAGAGAGAAAGAAAAAGAGAGAGACAGAGACAGACAGACAGAAAGAGGCAGACGGAAAGATAGAGAGACAGAAGGACAGAGAGAGAGAGACAGACAGACAGACAGACAGACAGACAAACAGACAGAGACACACAGAGACAGATAGGGGGGATTTGACGTCTATAGAAAAGGGAGGTGGGACCCTTCTTCCCAGAGTTTTGGACTCTTCCATGAGAACCTCAGGGCAGGGTTTTTTGGGGGAGGAGATTCAGAATGGAAGTTTTGCCAGGGTTACTTTTTAAGGGATTTCTACAGTTGTTACACTTTCCAGGCCGGCTTCCATCTCAGAGGTCTCCTAGTGGTCTCTCATCCGGGGGTCAACCAGGAGTAAGTGAAAGGATACAAAAAGCAAAAGAGAGAATAACAAAGTTGGGAGCGTCTAGTACAGGGGATCTATCTATATCTATATTGATATCTATATATCTATCTTCAATCTATCTAAACACAGAGGTCTGTCTATATCTATCACTACAAATAATGAAATCTATATCTATCCCTGTCTGTCTATCCATCCTTCCTTCCTTCCATCCAACTATGCAGATCTATACATATCTATCCATCCATCTATCCATCCATCTATCTATCTAAACATCTGTACATCTCTTATCTATCTGTATCTATCTATCTATCTATCTATCTATCTATCTATCTATCTATCTATCTATCTATCTA